CAACGCGCTATCGTCTGCCAGACAGACTCAGCTAAAAATCCACACTTTGGCCAATGCCACGAAACCCCACGCAGGCCGATGAATTCCTGCTTTTTTATATATGGATGTTGTTGCGTCTTCAACCACGTGTAGCACTTTAACACAAATCTGTCCAACATGCCTCTGGACCCACGCCCGCCACACTTTTCTATGCATGCCGATGTAGCCACACTTCCTGCAACATGACGAAATCACCGCGCCTGCCAGTGTTTTCAGCGATTCTGCATTCCTCTGNNTCCAAACGCAAACGCAATACCTTGCGTGGCGGCGAAAGGCACACATGCCTAGTTTTTAGACTGCAAATCCCTGAGCCCCGCAGGAATCTGAAGCCAAATCTCTTTCAGGAAGGTTCAGGCTCCACAGAGCTGCTCAAAATTGCACCCAGGTGGCCATCCGCCAGCGCTCCGCCCGCTTGCTGCAGGCGCTGCAGCGGGTCGAGGGCGGCAACTACAAGGATCCGTGACAGACATTAGAAAGACATGGGAATCAAGACACTCCCAGAGTCACACATCCCTTTTACCTCAGAGCCACCCAACCGGAGTGCTTTTCTTCGAGCATGCACTGAGCATCAACGAGAAAAACGGGTGCTTGAGAAATGAACGGGGAGTCGTGCGCGAGCTGAGGAAAAGGCGGATGACTTCGACACCACCTTCTCCATGTTGGTGAAAGGCTGTAGGGAGGTGGCCGAAGAGGGTTTCTTGGAGGCTCCCATCTACAACAATGCGCAGATTGAGGCTGCCTGGCTCTTCCTTTTCGAGGTGCGGCGGCGGCATGTGAACAAGAGGAAGCAGCTCCAGGAGTGCATTCGTGTGCTTGGCTCCTCCTACAACTGGTCGATGGCTCTTTACGGATCCAGGAAGGTCCAGGATGCCTTGCGTGCTCTGCCCGGCCGCTAGGCTGCACAGGCTGCAGGCTTCGGAGAATCCTTTGCTTCCGTCGTCGAAATTCCAAAAAGGTAAGGCATCATGGCTTCCAGGCTGAACATGGGTGTAGGCCATAAGAGGACAGACCAAGCTTGGGTCTAGATCAAGCTTGCCACTGGTCCTGCTAGACCTGGGGGGAAGCAGTTGCGAGAGAGCTCATAGTATTGCTTATATAGGCTCCAACATGCCCCGAACCAACCAGGGTTTGAACAGGCCAGATCGGATACGTTTTGCACAAAGGGAGACAGAGTCCTACTAAATGGACATTCCAGCGAACGCCTGGCTTTGCAGGTTTAGAAGCGGTTTTCAGCGAGAGACTATTGCTTGGTCATTGAAAGCCTCATGTACAGCATCCAGCTCCCATCAAAGCTTGCAAGGGGACGCGCGGGCGGAGATCCTCGAAGATGCGGCTGCCATGGATCTGCTGTCACAGCTGCAGCCGAAGTACATGCCGGGCGAGCCTGAGCCAGACGAATCACCCCCTGCCCAGCCAAGCTGGCCGGCAGGCCCGCAAGGCACTGGCTGGCCAGCGCCCTCCAATCCCAGTGGATTCGGTGACTTTCCGAGAGAAGAAGCCTCCAGGGTTGATTGGGCTCGGCCGCAGGCAGCACCGGGATCCGCCGGAAAGAACAATCCATTCAAGAAGTCCAGTGCTCCGGCTGGAGCAGACTGGGCGATGCCGCAGCGCGGAGAAGCATTCCCGGCACCAGCGCAGGGCTTCCCAGACGCTTTTCCAGCGTTTCCGAGCTCTGCGCCGCGGCCGACGTCGGCCTCCAATCCTTTCCGGAAAGATAAGGAAGAGACCAGCGGAGGGACCGGCTGGCCGGCGGCGCCGGGTGACCTCGATGCCTTCCAGTCAGTCCGGCCGGCGCCAAGGCCGCCTCCACCAGACGGGCGAGGGCACGATCTGGCTCCTCAGGACGTCGTGGCAGGTGCCAGATTCGCCAAGGAGTCGGGCATAAGCGCGCAGGACATGATGGCAGGCGCGCAGTTTGCGCAGAAGTCGGGTGTCACATCGCAGCAACCCGACTGATTTGGCTAGCTCCTTTCAGGGCTAACCGCTTTCCTTGTCGTTGGTTTGTAGACGACAGATGAGGCACGCGATGGAAGGTGCACGAATGGCACATCAGGCCGGTGTCAGGCCGCAACATGTCGTGCAGGGGGCGCAGATGGCCCACCAGGCAGGTCTCCGACCACACCATGTTGTCGACGGTGCAAGATATGCAGCAGGGCAGAATTCATCGGGTCTTGTGACACCTGCCGAATCCTGTTGGTAGTAGCTCTCGGCCATCACCGACACAGCCTCTGGATGTGGTTGCCAAGGCACAGCAAGCCGGCGTAACACCCGACAAAGTCCTCGCGGTGGGCAAAGCCTTTTCAGAGACTTAGCAAAACTAAAGCGTCTGATTCGCTGTCCTGTGGCTTTTGTCTCAAAATCAAAAGCACTTGCGCACTCTTGGCAACGGTCTTGATGTAAGGCTGCGAAGTAAACGAAGCTCTCTCCTCGCCGTGCAGCACATGACCCTGCCTCCTCCAGCGTTCACGAATGCCGTGGGAGCTACTTGTCCAATGCAGCTACGAGGCCGACCAGATCTGATGCAGCGCCATAGGAACATCGGCTCTGGGTGGATGTGACAGCTTTGCAGACCGTGGATCTGCCATCTGCAAAGCCCTTCCCGCCCTCAGAACGCTCGCATCTGCTTGCGGCCACACAGCCGCCCAGGCGGTGGTCGAACAAGCTTGTGCCACGCAGCTTCAGCAGCCCAAAAAAGGGCTCGTGAAAGCGAGCGAGAGCTTTCGAAGTCCTTCCCTGTTGCTTCGCGAGTCATGTGTGCAGTTTTCCAGCGAAAGGTCAAGCAGCCGCAGCTGCCTAAAGATGCTGTGAACAACGCAGATGTCGAAGTGGCAGATGAGGCGACTGTCGACGTGTCGTGAACTGATCAGATTCGCAAGTGATGCATGGCAGGCAAGCTTCGAATCCCTGGGAGTCTGCGAGGCGGAGATCGGACACAAGCGTTTCCTGACACACTTATCTCTTTCGGCCAGGAGCTTTGCCAAGCGGTGAAGCTTATGAAGTGGACGAAGCCAACCAGGAGACTACATGACCACTTCACTCAACAATGTGAGATTGATCTCCCGGCAGGATCCAACAAGAAGCCATTCCCTGGGCCTTGCAGGCCTGAAGCGGGCATCACATGCACCCCTGGTCTCTCTGAGCCTTGCGCGAGCCTTGTCCCGAAAGGGCCGGGACATCATTGGCTTAGCGGAGACCGGCAGCGGTAAGACCGGCGCCTTCGCCTTGCCCATCGTGCAGGAACGGGACGGTGCCGTGATACACGCAGTTTAGCACAGCCTTCGAAAGGCTAAAGCCAGGATGTAGAAAAGACACTTTGAACATGGTCCCACTAAAGGTTGTGTTTTGTCTGGAGCCCTTTGTTTTGTTTTGCTCGCTGTGCAGGTTTGGTCACTTTAACATAAGCCGTATTCCTTTGGAGGTTCGTGGATTGAATGCTGTCATGTGCAGAGCTTTTGCTCCGCAAGACCTGTTGCCAGCGGCTTCTCGACGACCCCCAGCGCTTCTACGCGGTTTGCTTGGCTCCAACACGTGAGCTGTGCGTCCGGCTCCTGGTATCGGTGGGAAACATTGACAGCTTCGAGAGCCAAACAGGCCCTGTTCCAGCCAAGGTGCAGATCGGTGAGCAGTTTGAGGTCGCCTCTCCTGGCTCTTGCTTGATCCATGCTCCAAGCGCAATCAAAGCAGAGAAAGGCCATCGGCAGCACCATCAAGCTGCAGACTGCCACAGTGGTGGGTGGTCTGGCCATGGTCGACCAGGCCCTCGGCAAAGTCGCAAAGATCGCCTCTTCTTTGCTGGTATTCTGCCAGGCCATGGCCCTAGCAAAACGACCACACGTCGTCATCGCCACGCCTGGCCGGCTCGTCGACCACTTGGAGAACACCAAGGCCCGCACCTGCAGAACTGTCGCTGCCAGACTGGTCCCACGTTCATGATCGATTGTTGCAGGGGTTTCACCTGAAAACCATCAAGTACCTGGTCATGGACGAGGCTAAATCGTTTATGCCAAGCACTGGATCGGGCATAGGCTTGGCATGGCTTGGCATACTCAAAATGGTTTGATTCCCCAGCAGTCGCTCAGAGCGTTTTACCTGTGCTGCGATTGTTCCGCATTAAAACAGCTTCAGTTCAGGTCCACACTAGGCCCAAAAGACGGCAACTTGGACAAACAAGCGCCCCAAAACGGTAAATATTGCGCCAGCGGGGTATAAGGCCCAAACAAAGATTTGGCGTAGATGACAAGGCCTAGCAAAAAGGTGATTAAAGCTACGCGAGGAAGTGGCTTGTGCATGCTTCCGCCAGGCGGACCGGTTGCTGTCCATGGACTTTGACGAAGCCTTGGACAAGATCCTCGAGGCTGACCAATTCAGACTGGAAGAGATGGTGATTTTCGATGATTTTCGGGTTGGGGCTGGCACCCAATCAAGCTCCCGAGCTTGAGTCTTTGCAGTGCCAGTTGGGGTGCACCACGGCTGATGGTTTGAACAAGCTATCATAACGTGAATCTCTGCGTTTTGCACAAATAATCAAACACTCAATGCGCAGGCTTCCGGTTGCACTGTCTCTTTTTGAAGCCGTTCTGGCTCGAGCCGAGTGCTTTTGCCGACGTTGCCATGCCACGCGTGGTTACAGCCATGCTGACAAGGAGGCATTTCCCGCAAAAATCTTCACATCTAGCCGAAACCTAAAGCCCTAAACCTAAAACCCTAAACCCTAACCCCTAAAACCCCTAAAACCCTGAGTAGCAGTCTTGCAAATCGTGGGCCAATGCGTGCCAGGGTGGGTCCCAGTCTCCTCATTGGCCTGGGTCTGACCCTGGCCTTCGCCCTGTGCCTTGGCCGAGGACTCCAAGCGGTGTTTGTCATGGCCTGTGCGGTCTGTATATACATATATTGTATATAGATATTTATAATCCCATATATATATATATACATACATATACATACATGCATATACATATATATATATATATATATGTATACATACATACATATACATACATACATATACATATGTATATATATATATATGTAATATCTAATGACATACATGTATGTATATATATATATA